AAAGAGATTAATTATGTTGTGCAAAGTTGAGCTTCAAGAAAAAGATGAATTAAATGCACTTTTAGTTGCATTTAATGAACTCCGCTGAATTTATGAAATTAGTCCAATTATGAGTCAATAGGCACATTTTATTAATTGCATTATTTAATTATAGTTTAACTATTTGTTCCTATATTCCACCCTTAACTATTCATTTTAATATTTAATTTGGGAGTTATATAACACATAGGTTAATGGGTCTTCTTTTCTTTGATTAGACATCAGATTTTGGAATTAAGAATAGAATTTCTATTTTAGCTTTGTTGAAAGCTAAACTTTCTTTGCAAATTTTTGTGTTTAGAACTTGCATGTAGAGTCATTCAAGTGGTATTGATCAAACCTCTTGTGGAGTGATTCGAATCACGAGTTTAGAAACGAGTTTTCTTTACTCTTGATCTTGATCATCAAGGTAATCCGCTCCATACTTTCCTTTGGGTTGATTTTTCATATCATTTGGTATCAGAGCTTCAGGTTCAAGATCGGATATATGTTTCATTGTGCTTATCTCTTTTAATTCTCTTATAATTTTTTTTTTCTCAGTTTGTGTAGAATGTTCATGTTCTATCACAAAAATATATAACAAAAAAAAAAAAAAAAAAAAAAATCTTATGTTCTTCAAAGTGTTAGATCTGGATCTTATCAACACTTTGTTCTTTTTTAAGATTTTCTAAATCAATTTTCTTGTTGGTAAATTGATTAGATTTTGACAATAAGAGAAAAAAAAACCATTGAAAGAAAAAAGCTCATTCATGTTAAATGTCTTTCTTTTTTTCCTCTTGATTATTCTATGTAACTCTCATATGTTACTACGTCTAAATTAGTTCTTAATCATTTTCTTTCTTTAATTCGTTTCTTTGTCATTATTCGGATTGGTCCTTCAATACTCTTGTGTATGTGTTGAGTGTGCTGTCTATTCACTTTGAATTGCACTTCGCTCTATAACATAACTTGTCTCACATCCCAATTTGTTTTTTGGAGTGTGATTTATGTGTGCTCAATTGTGAGGGTGAGTTTGTAAGGGAGTGACACATTGATTCGAGTGTTGAGTGCTAAACACGAGTGAACTACATTTACGAGTGAATACACGTGAGGGAGCGCAACAATGAACCATGGAAAGACTAATTCGAGGAATAGAAGAGTTGACTGATCGAATAGGCAGATTGGAGATTCAAAATCAAGCTCGACAGAGGATTCCACTACCTACGCCCTCAACCGATACATATGAGGGCGACAATTCTGATCACCACTAGGATAATCTACATGCGGTTGGTCATGGCTTGATGCGAGGAAGAGACCATGGAAGAAGGTATCATAATTTACAACAACGAGTTTCTTATGATGATAGAATTGATCGTAACGTGGGGAGTATCAAATTAAAACTTTCCAAGTTTTATGGCAAAACCAATTCAGAGGAGTACCTTCAATGGGAGAAAACGGTGGAGTCGGTGTTCAACTGTCATAATTTTAGTGATGAAAAGAAAGTACTGTTATGCATTGCTCCAATCAAATAATATGCTCAAATTTGGTTGGATAAATTGATGTCAAGTAGGAGAAGAAATCTTGAAGCACCAATTGATTCATGGGTCGAGTTCAAAGAGTCAATGATGAAGCGTTTTGTTCCACAATATTTTCAACGGGACATGGCGCAAAAGCTTCAAGCATTGAAACAAGGACGCAAATTTGTGGAGGATTATTACAAGGAGATGGATACATTGATGGATTGATTTGAACTCGATGAGGACATGGAGGCTCTCATGGCACGGTTTCTTAATGGGTTAAACACAGAGATTGCGGACAAGACTGATTTACAGCCTTATTCTAATATTGAGGAGGAGTTGTTGCACATTACAATTAAGATCGAGAGGCAAATCTAACGAAGGTCTCAACGGTATTTTTCTAAAACTTTTCCCAACTCTACTTCTACATGGAAAAGGGATAGTAAGAACATTGATTATAAACATAGAAATCAAGAGATTAATGAGAAGTCTCAAGCTAAATTTGATAAAGGGGAGAGTTCTAGAACAGGGAAAGAAAAAGTAGAAAAGTCTAATGTTCGAAATAGAGATTTAAAGTATTGGAGATGTCAAGGGGTAGGACACTATAGTAGAGGTTACCCAAATGCAAGAATTATGACCATCAAGGAGGGAGAAATTGTTACGGATGATGAGGCACATGACGACATAGATGAGGAAACTAATGAGAGTGAGGAGTTTAGTGAAGAGGACCCTACACATATATCTTTGGTTACTCAACGAGCTCTAAACACCCACATTAAGGAGGACGGCCTAGACCAAAGGGAGAACTTGTTTCAAACTCGGTGTCTTGTTCAATATGTACCTTGTAGTGTTGTAATTGATAGCGGTAGTTGCACCAACGTTGTGAGTTCCATTATGGTCAAAAGACACAACCACATCCAAGACCCTACAAGCTTCAATGGTTGAATGATTGTGGGGAAGTACGGGTAACTCAACAAACTCTTGTTTCTTTTACTATTAGAAAATATGTTGATGATGTTTTATGTGATGTTGTATCCATGCATATTGGAGATTTACTACTGGGGAGGCCATGGCAATTTGATCGTCGGGTAATGTATGATGGGTATGCAAATCGATATTCTTTTACTCACAATGGTAGAAAAGACAAATCAGTAAGCTTGTATGTTAGATCAACTGAGGCTAGGAATGTTTTGCTCTCTAACCAGACTATTCTTGTACTTATGTGCAAGGGATCTTGTTACTTTACTAACATGCTTAACCCTTCTTTGCCTAGTGATTTTGTTGTGCTTTTGCAAGAGTTTGAAAATTTATTTTCCGAGGAGAAGCCACTTAGAGAGATTGAACACAAGATTGACTTCATTCCTGGCATGCCCATTCCGAACCGACCAGCTTATAGGACTAATCCAAAGGAGGCTGAAGAGATACAAAGGCAAGTAAGTGAACTTCTTGCTAACGGGTATGTACGTGAACGTTTGAGTCATTGTTCTATTCCAGTTATTATTGTACCTAAGAAAGATGGTTCTTGGCGTATGTGTAAACAAGATAACTATAAAGTAAGTGAGGTAAGAAGTTCAAAGGCAATTTCAACCCTAACCGAGTTCAAAGGCTGTGGGCAATTTGTACCTTTTGAGTTGAGTTACGTATAAATAAATGAAACTTTCTAGCGGAAACTTTCATGAACTGGACTCGTCATAGGTTCCCTTAACCGGCCCAAATTTATTATTAATTTTAAAATATACATTTTTATTCATGAATATAAATTATATATTCATATATTTATTTTATTTTTATCAAATTTCATAATTATATATTCTTTAATACTTTTTTTAAAAATATATATTGAAATCCAAATTTTAATTTAATATATAAAATTAAATAAATAGACATTTTACTTTTATTAAAAATAAAAATTTGAATAAATGAACCAAATTAGTTGAACCAACTTAACTAAAAAAAATTACTGTTGTGTTGGGCACGTTCTTGACCGACCATGTTGTGATGGCCGATGACATCTCAAGACTCGGGATGGCGTCAAGGCATATGGACCATGTCAATAAGGATCAAGATGACAAGATGAGATGCGACGTTGCATTGAGAGACCTTGACTCCGAGCAGAGAAAAGGGCGAGCCGAATGACTTGGCCTAGTGTAGAGACAAGTCGGATGTGTCGTAGACGATTGAACAAGTTTGGATTCCACACGAGTAATGTTCGATTGGCGAAGAAGAGCGAAAAAGATATATGGGGTTTAATTACTCTGCTCGTCATCAGCATGTTAAGATCACGACATAAATAGGTTCATTATTGAATAAATGTTGTTTTGATTAAAAAAAATTTACAACTGAACAATTGAACTGCTAACAAATCGGGTAGGTATATTAGTTGGGCGAGTGAATCCAACGGTGAGATAATCATGGGAGGGATATAGATATATAATTAATATATTTATTTATTTAAAAAATATATATTTATCATTTGTCAGACGTCAGGCTCGTTAAAACCCGTAGTTGTAAGCCTTCTCCGGAAATCCATCGCCCCCATTGAAACTCCCATTGAGTCTTCAACCTTCTTACCTACAATGGCTATCACCCAATTCGCCATGGTAACTTCTTCTTCTTCCTCTTTACTGCTTTCTTCTGACTTCACAAAGAATCGCATAGTTTCTCTCTAAATTGTTAGATTCTCTCAGTTGAATTCTCAGAATCCTTGGCGGGCTCTAGCATTTTTGGTATTTTTGATGAACTGACAGTGATGTACTTGGTGGTTTCTGGATCAGGGTATTAGGTAGTGCGGATTTTTGGTTTAATTGCGTTTTTTTGTAGGGTAATCGGTAGTTTTCTGGATCAGGTTCAGTGATTTGAGAATTTGATGCATTTTTTTGGTTTGTTGATTCTGCTTGGAATTGGAATTTGGCATATAAAAAGATGAGAAGGAGTGATTATTACCTTTATTCATGTAAATGAAATTTAGTTCTTCAGCAAACAAAAAGAATAGATTTGTAGCGTAATATGCAGGAAGTTCTGGGAAAGTTGGTTAATGTCTGAAGCAATATGTTGTAAGATCAAGATGGGTTCTGACATTTTCTGTAGTTTTTTTATCTTCAAACCTGCCCTGGTGTACACGTTTTTCGACATTTCGACAGTTCTTTTCCATTTTTATGGATAAAGGTAGATTCCTTTAGTGCTTGTATGAAGTTATTTACTGAAGTTTGTCTAGAACAGCTAGTATTTGCAGTTACATAATTCTGCATTGTGCTATTTTCGTTAACATTTTCCTTTTTTTTTTCCTCCTTATTGATGATATTTGACTCCTCAGGTGGAGGAGTTGGCCTTCCTTGTGAAGGAAAACCTCCCTAGCAAGCATCTTATTCTATCCATGGAAGACGTTTTCGTCAAGTTTCTTCAGGATGAAACCAGGTAATGTGTTGGATGATGATTACATGATGTTAGTTAGGTACTTTATGATATTATATTTGAAGTAGTTGTTCGGATTCCTTATGATATGCAACTGAAAGAAAAGGGGCAGTTTGAATGTCGGGGTTGTTTTTATTTTACCCAAAGGGTTTGAATTAGCCCCCGATCGTCCGATCGTATTCCTCCCGATTAAAGAAAAGATGGGCAAGCTGTCTTTTCAGAGCTATCGTCCAATTTAGTAATATTTTTGTGTTTCAATTCCACCAAGGGTGAAAGGGAAAAGTGGAAGGTTATGGGCTCAAACAATGGTAGTTATCTATTTAGAGGATAGGAACCACTTTTTATTCTGATGTTTGGTGCACTACTTCTCAAATTTCACGTTTATCTTGCATTTGAATAGCTTTAGATTTACATTGTTCTTTACCTATGGCTTGAATGGTGATCACTAACTTCAAATAATTGTTGCGGGTAGCAGTTCAGATGGAATCTTGGAGTTGGAACCAATGGATTCATACAACCGTCTTCTATTGCATCGCCTTGCTGATATTTTCGGGTGCACTTTCCCCCTCAATATTTTTTCTAGTTTGTATAAGGCTGAACTCTTAATTTTCTATGTCAAACTTTATGCCTACCTTCCTAAGTTTGTTCTTCTTCCCAATTCCTCTCTCAGATTTGCCCATGTATCAGTTGGTGAAGGAGCTGATAGGCACTTGGTTTTGGAGCGATGCCCAGAGTCATCAATGTATTGAGAAATTCCTTACCTGAATTCCTTTTGGTTTAATATTTACATATTCTAAATTCTTATTGATATTGCATTTGATCTGATGTTGAACCTAGGAATTTGAACAATTCCCGCATCTGTGCATTTTCTTTACACGTTACACGTTGAAATAATTGAATAAGAAATTCGCCCTCATTTTTCTTTTCTAATAAACATCTTCTCTATAGAAAAATGTTTTGCTTTGAATTGGAGTTAGGCTTTTGAGATCTTTTATTATTTTTTGTATTGAAATAATTGAATAAACCTCTTAGTCCCCTAGAATTTGATTCAATGCAATGAACTCTTAGTCCTTTATGCCTTTGATCAGCTCCACTAGGAATCCGTCCTTTTCTGCAATTTAGTCTGTCTAGGAGGAAATGAAATCCAAGCTTTTCTCTAGTTATCCTTGAATACAAGTAGGGATAACGTACAACCCTCTCTCTCCCTTGCTATTGTGATTCACATTCTTTTGGTTTTTCCCCCAAGTCGTACATCGACTCGAGGGAGAAGATTTGGATTGCATAGGTGCACATCATAAGCTATATGGAAAGATGGACTATTTGTAATTCTTATCCATTAAGTTTTATTTATGACAAAAAAACATTGAGATGTCATTTATTTCTTCACCGTAGTTCACGTATTGCTTAAAGTGAAACGAGGATTCTTATATTTACGAACTATGAAACTGTTGGGGTATGGTAGGGACATGGGTGGTTCTAATAAAGGTCATTTGTTCATTAGCTTATTTGTATTGCAGGCCGTCCATTCTTGTGAGTGATATTCTGTGGGAGTACGATGAACCTCAAATTTCAACAATACCACACCAACTGTTAAGGAGAAAGGAAAACTCTTCTGGTATGCTTATTATTTCATACAGCATAATCAGTACCTGCAAGTTTTTCCAATTCATACTATTGATTGCTATTTGATCATCAGAAAGCTTACATGTGCACTAATAGTGGACTTGTGGCCATTTGAAGATTGTAGAGGAGATAGTATGAACGTGTAATATTAATTTGTGAAAATGCCCTGCTCTCTCTCTCTCTCTCTCTCTCTCTCTCTCTCTCTCTCTCTCTCTCTCTCT